AGTAAGATGGGAGCCAATACAAAGCTAACAAGCGGGAACCCTGATCTAGACACAGTAGGATCAGTGTCCGCCATCTTCTGCTACTTTCTCAATTTGCAATGCATGGTGGCACCAAACGAGAGGGACTTAAAGAGAGAAAGAGAGAGCAACCCAATTTTCCACTCTGATTGATTTACTAGTGACGAAAAATGGCAAGGTCACTATGTCAATGAGCTTAACAACTACAACAGCGGCCCAGTATAATTTTACAAGTGAGATCTGGAGAGAATAATATGTACGCAGATCTTATCCCTACTTCAAGGGACAGAGAAGTTGTTTCAAGGAGACCCTCGGCTCAAGAAAGTAACAAGAGCCGATATATTAGTACGATCAATTGATTCATAATAAAATAACATAAAACTATAAAATAACAGTAATATAAAAAATATAGGAAATATAGAAATACTAAAAAGATGAAAGGTGGAAGGTATAATAACATCTAGTCGATAAAGCCCTACATCAATAGCTGATCAGTAGTATTCTAAGACTAACTCAGTAGTATTCTAAGACTAACTCCTAACTGGCTAGTCTCACTCTAGTGCGCTACAAAAATATTCACAATTTTCCCTAACCTACAACCTTAATGATGTTAATAAGCTATGGCGAATTGCCTAAAACGAGCCTTTTCCCTAATTAGTTACTGTTGCATGCGTTAGCCAAAGCATAGATACATGCGCGCTTAACCCTAGATATATACTGTTACAACTTACAATTTATGTTGAAAATTAATATTCCCTCCTCCTCCTAATAAGTGATCAATTTGTTTTTTTTAATTTTGGTTCAAAATGAGTGTTCATTTATATAATCAAAAAAGAATTCAATTCATTTTTACAAAATTACCCCTTATATATATTCCTAAAAAAAATTTTTACTCCTTACATTAAATATTTAATTAAGAGTAGTTTAGTCATACTAGATATTTTAATATAGAATTTAGTACTTTCTTAATAGTCGTACCAAAAGCAAATTGATCGCGCCTATTGTGAAAAGAGGGGAGTAAAGCTCTATGCTTTGCTTGACTTTGGCCTCCTCAGCCTCATTTAACTTCTTTAGCCGCATGCAGTGTGTGCAAGTAAGGAGTCCAGAACTTGGGACCTCATGCATAAGAATTGCCTGCTCCTAACAGCATACTGGATCCAAAATTTAAATTTAGTCATAGGATCGACCAATGGCGGAGCCAAATTTTATTAGGATATTTAAAATATAAGTAAGTAAACTTGTGAAGAAGGCAATAAAATTCAACATCTACTATATATATATATATAATAAAATAATTTTGACCTTGTATATAGTATAATTTTTTGATGAAGGAATTGGATGAATACCCTTGCACCCGGGCCCCTGGTTTAAAACGACTTTTTCATTTTATCACTAGACGTATTATACTTTATATTTGTTAAAATTTAGTGATTCTCCAACATATGTTTAAACTGCGTATGAAAAAGATTGAGTTCAATTGAACTCATCGGTAATATATGACCGATAACTATGCCATGCATTAATTAGTCCATTAATATATTAAGATGGGTACCCGCGCTTACTATTTGGCAATTAGGTCTGCTTTAATTTGTGGAAACTACTCAGTGCTCCCTAACTATCAACAGTCGATTATGTTTGCCCCAAAATCCAATACACTAACACACAGTAATATTAGAGATAACGTAGCTAGTTCCAAGAGGATTACAAGACAAGTATGTTCATTTCATCTAAGATGATAAATATATAAAGTAATTTTAATACTGCCCAAGAGTAACTCGCTAATACATTGATATCAAGAATGATTGCTCAAATAATAGAAAATAGAATAATGAACAACTAACTTTATTCTAGTTATTTTTTTTCCCAAAACAAAGACTTCACGTTACTGCATCAACGAACAACAAAGTTCAAATGTAATATTTGCATCCTGGACAACCCAAGTTGGGAAAAACTTCTCCCAGGAGATGTTGTTCAACAAAGAAAGAGAAAATTTAGCTAAATTATGAGCTACTTTGTTTAACTTCCTTAGAATATAAAGAAACTCGACGTGATCAAACATGCTTGATAGCTTCCAAATGTCTTCACACAACACTTCTATCTCCCATGAAGTAGCCAGTTGTTTTTGGATCATATCAACAACATTCTTAGCATCAGATAAAATCTTCACATTTTTCCATCCAAGAATAATAGCACATTCAAGTGCCTTTCTTATGGCAATCGCTTCATCAGTCATGGTTTTTCCAACATACTGAATTGGGGATCCATGGGCATGAAGCAGTTTTTCAAAGCTATTCAAAGCCGCGACACTAATACTCGCATGTCTATCATCACACTGTAATCCTGCGTCTGTAAATAATAAAACATCATCTTAAAAATTGGTTAGTTTAGGCACAAACTCATTTCCAGTTGAATGTCGTGCAGCGAGGCAACTAGTTAATATATCTTTATATTCTTCATACTCAAAAAGAACTTTAGAAACAATATCAGTTGGCTCTAACATTTTCTGATTAAAGCACCGAGCATTCCTACCTTTCCAAATATCACACCTTTATATTTGTGCTCTTTGTTTTAAATTGGACTAGTCTTTACCAATATACTTAATATGAAACCTGTAATGCTAGATAATAATGACCATAACCCATGCATCTACAATTAAACTGGACATTAGCAAGTAACATACCTTTTAGATATTTTTAACTACTAAGTATATATTTATTTCAATAGCATTAGCCTGAGGCAAGTTACATCAATTAGTTCTCCATATAGCTAACCCATCTACAATTAAAATGGACGTTATGGTCATGTTTATTCAAAATTAAAGGTTGAGATTTATATAGGGGAAGAAAGAGCGCATAAAAGCCAAATTGAGCGAGTCCCACAAACATAATTGTCTTGTCTCGTTTGGCTATCAATATTGTCATAAGAAAGAATATATATGCACTACTATGACGTTTTTTCATTGACGAAAGGGGATTCGACATGGTCTCCTTTGTGGAATTATTAGGTGGCATATATATTAATTAAAAAAAGAATACCCGTTGAAGAAACAATTTAAAACAAACATAACTAAAGAGAAATTTTAAACTATACTACTCCACAAACTTCACATATGATAATTAAGGGGAGTCAATAATTCAAAAATATACCAATATTTTGCTTCTAGCCTATTTACATATTTAAGGATTTTTATACAAACAGTAGGACGGATTCATTGTTTATTTTTTCTAGTCGATATACATAAATTATACACTAATTATTTACAATCAGGGGCGGATTTAGGGGGCGGATTTTCACCCGAACCCCCTTCGCCGAAAAATTATACTGTGTACAAGGCAAAATCTATTTTTTTACCTCTATATATTATGTTTTGAATCACTTTAATATAGCCCAAAAGAATAGTTTAGTGGTCAAGGGGGTTCAAAATTTTTGTAAGGTCATAGGTTCTATTCCCACTAGCTACAACCTTATTAACTTTTTTCTTTTTTTGAATCTCCTTCGCGGTAATCATGCCTCCACCACTGTTCACAACTATACATATATTACATGGATTATACTTATATTATACATTTGTTGACTATTTTTTTAGTTTTAATAGTTGGATGAATCGGAGGATTATTTAGGTTAATTCTTCAAATTTTTAAACAAAAATAATTTCCTTCATTGGACATAACTCCGCTCCTAACGGTAGTAAATATTGATTTAACAAGCTTTAGAATGAAAAGTATGATACCTACATAATTAGGGAAAGAAAATGTGGAAGATACTTTTTACGCACCTATCAACAACAACAACAATTCAATATAATCCCATTTAATAATGTCTGAAGGGGATAATATATATGTAGACCTTACCCCTATTTTGGAGTAAAGAGGCTGTTTCTAAATAAACCCCCGATATTCTTCCTCCAAAAACTTCTCACCTTACTCTTGTAAGAAGACTCGAAGTCACAGCCTCTTATTACGAATACACAGCTATCATAATTATGAATACACTTATGACTTCACCTCAGATGGACAAACTTAAATGGTAGTGATCTTATAATGTGTACACTCTCTCATTCAAAAAGATAAAGCCACTGATTTGACTGCGGCGGCAGAGATCCAATTCCAATATACCCACTTGCCCTATTTGCCTGTATACACTGTGTTCTTTGTTTCTTCTTCCGCTTTTTTCCTACTAATTTCTGCTGCTTTTCTCTACAACTTGGCCTTTGTTTTCTTCCACATATTAGCATTTACCCCCTTCAATTGGCAACGGCGATGAGCAGAAAATAATCACAAGTATTATCCTTGGAAAGAGCACTGTGCTAGTGGTGCTGTTTTTTTTCTTCTTTTCTTATTTTTTAAAATTCTGATTGGATGTCTTACACAGCTTCTAGAGTTGTGGGCAATTAGACCCATCTAACTTTCTACTTATGAATAGCTCAAGCACAAGTGCTGCTAAAGCGGGACTAGTTAAGTTGAAAGGCTGTTAGTCCGATCGGTGATAATTATTTGCAGGTTTTCTAAATCGACCAATGATAAAGAAAATCTGCACAAATGCTGGATTGCAACTAAGTGGATCCGATCAGCTCGTAATTTGGAGTTGAGGTAATTAGCGAGTCATTGAGCAGACATGTATATTTCAGCATTTGAAGAACCCTAATTCACCCCTGGTAAAACTCTATGTATATTGATTTACAACCATATATTTTCGAGGATTCATCAAAAGCTGGTAGATAGTTCACTGTGGATGCAATATACTCATCCTATTTGAAAATATTGACTAATTAGGAGTATTTCTTTTATTCCCACTTGTGCTAGCTAATAGTATAGAATATTACTAGTTTTTATAAATAGTAGATGGATTTTAATTATACTTTGGGACTGGGGGGTGGTGATTCAAAGGAGGCATCTGACAGTGATGCTGGTGGAAGCTCCGGTGGCGGAGGAGCAGCCGGGACTTCCAACCGCCGCCCTCGAGGCCGTCCACCTGGATCCAAAAATAAGCCCAAGCCTCCAATTATTGTTACAAGAGACACCCCTAATGCACTCCGATCTCACGTGCTTGAAGTTTCGGCGGGTGCTGATGTAATGGAAAGTGTGTCCAATTACGCTAGACGAAGGGGGAGAGGTGTTTGTATTCTTAGTGGTAGCGGTACAGTCAATAACGTCAACATTCGTCAACCTGCTTCCCCTGCTGGAAGTATAGTTACACTTCACGGCCGTTTTGAGATACTTTCACTATCTGGGACTGTTCTTCCTCCGCCGGCACCGCCCGGGTCGAGTGGACTCTCTATATTTTTGTCAGGTGGACAAGGCCAGGTTGTTGGAGGATCCATCGTAGGGCCTTTGATGGCATCAGGTCCTGTTGTATTGATGGCAGCGTCCTTTGCTAATGCGGTGTTTGAACGGCTGCCGTTGGAGGAAGAGGAGGGGGCTGCTGGTGCTGGTGCTGGTGCTGCTACTACACAGGTACTTTTATAGCAGGTTGTTTGACTTATTTTTCAGGTAATTAGTTCCATTTATTATCTATTATTACTTGTAATTTTAAATGATTTAATAATGTAAAATTCAGGTATGTAGAATTTGAAGTCTTAATAGTATATAGATACTAGGTGCATGTTTGGTTTTATCCATATGACTTTTAGGAATTTTAGTGCATGAATTTCATGTTATTTGAGGTACAGTCAAACCTCTGTATAACAGTCTCATTACAACCTTATTTGTTTTAATATTTTTTGGGTCTATAGTGAAGTGTTGGTATAAAGGATATATATGGAGTACAACATAATACTCCCTCCGTTTCAATTTATGTGAACTCATTTGACTGGGCACGGAGTTTAAGAAAAGAGAGAAGACTTTTGAACTTGTGATGTAAAATGAAGCACATATATTTTGTGTGGCTATAAATCATTGCATAAAGGTAAATTGTTTCCAAATAGGGAAAGAGGTCATTTTTCGTGGCACGGACTAAAAAGGAAATAGGTTCACATAAATTGAAACGGAGGGAGTATAAAAATCAATTCCGAAAAAAATATGATTTTTATAGTGAATTGTTATTATATAAAAATATTGTTATAGAGAGGTCTGATTATACATTATTATAGTATATTCTAGGTGTATTTTTATGTAGAGGCGGATTCAGTGTGAGAGTTACGGGTTCAATTGAACCCATAACTTTCGACGCGGAGTAGAAATTTATGTGTAAAAATTCGTTAAAATTGCAAAAATAATAGATTTGAACCCATAACTTTAAATATATAATGGGTTCAATGTTAAAAATCTTAAAAATTGAACCCATAGAATTTAAATCCTGGATCCGCCTCTGTTTTTATGTGACCAAGTTCATAGCGTCAAAGTATACATTTTGTAGATATAAGTCTGAAAGTCTCTTTTTGACGCATGATAACACCCCCTTGTAAGAATGAAGTTTGCTTCATGTTTACTGCCTTTTGCAATATTCTCTTTGTGCCGTATAATATTCTATCAAAGAGCGTGCCTAATTTAAATTTAATTTAACAGGTACATGAGCAGCCAGCTGCATCACAGTCATCAGGAGTAACTGGTGGTGGAGAGGGTGGACATCTGGTTGGAACTGGAGCCGAAGGTGGTGGTGGTGGTGGTGGTGGTGGTGGTGGTGGTGGTGGTGGTGCAGGAGGAGGTATGTCGTTTGGGAATGCACCACATAGTAATTACTCATTCTCACCTGAGTTGCTTGGATGGAGTGGCAATGCTGCACCTGCAAGTGGAAGGCCTCCGTTTTAGTATATGAACATTTGCATTAGTTGCAAACAATGATGAGAGAATTAACCTAATTAGCATCCGGATTGATTTTCAAGAGTGTTACTCATTACATAGATTTCATATGATTATCTCAAAATGCTTGAAGAGTTGATCATATTGTACGGAAATTGGAGGGTGATGATCTGAATTGCATAGTTGTGGTTCACAAGTACAGTAAAATTTCAGTTTCACTAACAGTACAAGCAGCAATAGCAAGAGGCCATTATTGTGAAAGTTGTGAGGAGAGATTTGCAATTCAAGGGCGCTAACTTTGTATTGAAACTTGAAAGGATGCGTGATACTTGAGCATTGAGATCAGCATTATTCCAAGAATTGATCTCAAAGGTGAGTAGCTAAGCTTGCATTTTATGTACATAGTGTTTGTACAAGTACATGTCACGGGTTCGAACCGTGGAATTAGCCACTGATGCTTGCATTCGGGTTACCATTGATTTCTATATCTATTACGGTATTACTTTGCTTATTAGATTTGTTTTGTTGTAATCTTAGCCAATTAGGTAAGCGTTAATGCTGCACATTACTACTACAAGATATATTTCGGTCTCAACTTTTTTATTTACATATTGTGTTTCTCATTTGATTCTACCATTTGTGAGAATACCTCTTTGTTCTAGAAGAAGATCTGATGATGTGCTCCGGCGATTATCCCTTTTCATTAGTCACAGAGTCTGAAGGCAATAGGCTATCATGTTGTACCTTTTGTTCTTGGGTTGGTTCTCAATCAAATTAACCAAAGTTGAAAAAGAGACCAATAAAAAAAAACTCCTACGTACAGTGCCAATTAAAGGAACTATGATAAGACTTCTGAAAAAAGGAATCTGTATTAGTATGATTGAAGAGGTTACATTGCTTCATTTTTGTATGATTAATTTTATTTAGTCATTGATAGGTGTACTATCACTGTCGAGTTCCCAAATAAATTTTAATTAAAGAAGGTTAGTCAAAACTGGGCATCGAGGATTCACATGACTGCATGCATGTATCATATTCGGAACAAGCGTAGAAAATTGCAGTCTCTGATATATACACTCAGTCACCACTAAATTGACTGCAGCAGTAATTAATTATCAGGTACAGAACTGGTAACTCCCATTCCTTTAAGGAATAATTATGCTGTTAAAGTAATTATGGACTATAGCTCGGACTCATGTACATGGTGTCGCCTATAGCAAACGAAAATCTAAGAATCGAGCAGAATTTTAGTTTTATGGCCCTAAAACGCCAAAAAACGAAGAACGGTCATCGCAAGGCAATGACTAGTGTTACTTAGATCGTTTTTTATGGGCCGACAAAATTTTAGGCGATCCGAGTCCGGTCACCCGGACCCATGTTGATGGCGTGGGCTATAATATACGAAAATCTTGGAATTAGACGAAATTCCAGTTTTCTGGTCCTAAAATGCCAAATAACGAAGAATGGTTATGGCGAGGCGATGACTATTGTTCCTTAGATTATTTTTGATGGGCCAACAAAAGTTTAGGCGGTTCGGATCCGGTCGCCCGAACTCGTGTAGATAGCGTGGATAGCACACGAAAATCTAGGAATCGGGCGAAATTTTATGACCCTAAAACGCCAAAAAATGATGAACGGTCATGGCGATGCGATGACTATTGTTCCTTAGGTCATTTTTTATGGGTCGGCAAAATTTTAGACGATTCAGGTCCGGTCGCTCGGACCCATGCAGATGGTGTGGGGTATAGCACACGAAAATCTGAGAATCAGACGGAATTTAAGTTTTATGGCCCTAAAATGCCAAAAAACGAGTAACGGTCATGGCGAGGCGAAGATTATTGTTCCTCAGCTCATTTTTGATGGGACGACGAAATTTAGGCGATCCAAGTCCGGTCAGCTGGACCCGCACAGATGGCGTGGGTCGTAGGCTATGTCACACAAAAATCTAGAAATCAGGCGAAATTCTAGTTTTATGGCCCTAAAATACAAAAAAACGAGGAATAGTCATCGCGAGGCAACAACTATTGCTCCCAGATCGTATATGATGGACGGCAAAATTTTAAGCGATTCGGGTCCTGTCACCGGGACCCATGCAGATGGCGTGGGCTACAGCACACGAAAATTTGGGAATCGGTTGGAATTCCAATTTTATGGCTCTAAAACGCCAAAAAACGAGGAACGGTCATGGCGAGGCGATGATTATTGTTCCTTAGGTCACTTTTTATGGATCGAAATTTTTTTAGACAATCCGGGTCCGGTCGGTTTTATGGTCCTAAAATGCCAAATAACGAGGAATGATTATGACGATGCGATAACTATTGTTCCTTAGGTCATTTTTTATAGGCCGACACAAGTTTAGGCGATCCGGATCCGATTGGCCAGACTTGTGTAGATGGCGTGGGATATAGCACACGAAAATCTAGGAATCGGGCAGAATTTCAGTTTATGATCCTAAAATGCCATAAAATAATGAGCCGTCATGGCGATGCGATGACTATTATTCCTCAGGTAGTGTTTGATGGGCCGGCAAAACTTTAGGCGATGAAAGTCCGGTCGCCTGGACCCATGCAGATGGTGTGAGTTATAGCACTCGAAAATCTGGGAATTAAACGGAATTTAAGTTCTATGGCCCTAAAAAACCAAAAAACGAGGAACGGTCATGGCGAGGCTGTGACTATTGTTCCTCGGGTCGTTTTTGTTGGGCCGAAAAAATTTTAGGCGATCCGGGTCCAGTCGCCGGACCCATGCAGATGGTGTGGCCTATAACACATAAAAATTTGGGAATTAGGCAGAATTTCAATTTTTGGCCAAAAAAAGCCAAAAACGAGGAACGTTCATGGCGAGGCGATGACTTTTGTTCAGCAGCTCGTTTTTTATGGGCCGATAAAATTTTACGCGATCCAGGTCCAGTCGTCTGGACCCATGCCGATGGCGTGGGGCCATGGGCTATATCACATGAAAATCGAAGAATCAGGCGAAATTTTAGTTTTAGGGTCCTAAAACGCCAAAAAATGAGGAACAGTCATGGTGAGGCGATTACTATTGTTCCCCAAGTCATATATGATGCACCGACATAATTTTAGGCGATTGAAGTACGGTCGTCGGACCCATGCAGATGGTGTGGGCTATAGCACATGAAAATGTGGAATCATGACGAAATTTCAGTTTTATGGCCCTAAAACACCACAAAACGAGGAACGGTCACGGCGAGGCGATGACTATTGTTCCTTAATTTGTTTTTGATGGGCTGACAAAAATTTGGGTGATCCGGGTTCGGTCTCACAGACCATGCAAATGGTGTGGGCTATAGCCCAAAAAAATTTAGGAATCAGGTGGAATTTCAGTTTTATGGCCCTAAAACGCCAAAAACGAGCAACGGTCATGGAGAGACGATGACTATTGTTCCTTAGGTCGTTTGTTATGGACCAACAAAATTTTAGGCGATTCGGGTGCAGTCGCCCAGACCCATGTAGATGGTGTGTGTTGTAGCACATGAAAATATGGGAATCGGGCAGAATCCCAGTTTTATGGTCCTAATACGCTAAAAAACGAGAAACGATTATGGCTAGGCATTGACTATTGTTCCTTAGGTACTTTTTGATGGGTCGGATAAATTTTAGGCAACACGTCCGGACCCACGCAAAGGGAGTGGGCTATAGCACATGAAAATCTGGGAATCGGGTGGAATTTTAGTTTTATGACCCTAAAACGTCAAAAAATGAGGAACGGTTACGGCGAGGCGAAGACTATTGCTCCTGAGATTGTTTTTGATGGGATGGCAAAATATTAGGCGATGCGGGTCCATTCACCCAGACCCTGCAGATGGAGTGGGCTATAGCACACGAAAATTGAAGAATCAGGCGAAATTCCAATTTCATCGCCCTATAATGCCAAAAACGAGGAACGATCATGGCGAGGCGATGACTATTGTTTGTTAGGTCGTTTTTGATTGGCCTCAAAAATTTTAGGCGATCATCTAGGTTCAGCCGCCCGGACCCATGCATATGGCATGGGCCATAGCTCACGAAAATATGTGAATCGGTCACAATTTCAGTTTTATGACCTTAAAACGCCAAAAATCGAGGAACGGTCATGGAGAGGCGATGACCATTTTTTCTTAGGTCGTTTTTGATGGGTCTGACACATGTAGATGGCGTAGGCTATAGCACACGAAAATATGGGAATCAAGCGGAGTTTCTCATTTTGTGGTCATAAAACGCAAAAATACGAGGAACGGTCATGGCGAGGCGATGACTATTGTTCCTTAGGTCGTTTTTGATGGACCAACAAAATTTTAGGCGATTTTAGACGATCCGCCTGGACCCATGCAGATGGCGTTGGCTAGAGCACACAAAAATCTGGGAGTCAGGCGAAATTCCAGTTTTATGGCCTTAAAATGCAAAAAACGAGGAACAGTCATGGCGAGGCAATGACAGTTGTTTCTTAGGTAGTTTTTTATGGGACGGTAAACTTTTTAGGAAATCCAGGTCCATCGCACGGACCCATGTAGCTGGCGTGGGCTAGAGTACATGAAAATCTAGGAATCGAGCGAAATTCTAGTTTTATGGCCCTAAAATACCAAAATACGAGGAACGGTCATGGAGAGGCGATGACTATAGGCCAGCAAAAATTTGGGCTATCCGGGTTCGGTCGTCCGGACACATGCATATGGCGTGGGCTATTGCACACGAACTCTGGGAATCAGGTAGAATTCCAGTTTTATGGCCTTAAAACATCGAAAACGAGGAATGGCCATGGCGAGGTGATGACTATTGTTCCTTAGGTCGTTTTTCATTGGCCGACAAAATTTTCTCCAATACAGTTCTGGTCGCCTAGTCCCATGCAGATGGCATGTATAGCACACGAAAATCTGGAAATCGGGCGAAATTTCAGTTTTATGGCCCTAAAACGCTAATAACGAGGAACGGTCATGGCGAGGCAATGACTATTGTTCCTTAGGTCATTTTTGACGGGTCGGCAAAATTTTAGGCAATTCGGGTCTAATCGCATGTACCCATGCACATGGCGTGAGTTATAGCATATGAAAATTTAAGAATCGGGCGGAGATCCTCATTTCATGGCTCTAAAACGCCAAAAACCGAGAAACGGTCATGGCGAGGCAATTACTATTGTTCATTATGTAGTTTTTTATGGGCCGGCAAAATTTTAGGTCCTCTGCCACCGGTCGCCTGGACCCATGCAGATGGTGTAGGCATTAGCATACGAAAATTTTGGGGAATGGAGCGCAATTTGAGTTGTATGGCCCTAAAACGCCAAAGAACGAGGAACGGTCATAGAGAGGCGATTACTATTATTTTTTTGGTCATTTTTTATGGGCCGGGAAAATGTTAGTCCGAGACGTCGGCAGGATCCATGCAGATGGTGTGGGCTATAGCATACGAAAATCCTAATTGTATGGCCCTAAAACACCAAAAACGAGGAACGGTCATGGAGAGGCGATGACTATTGTTTCTTAGGTCATTTTTGATGCGCTAGAAAAATGTTAGACGATCCGAGTCTGGTCGCCCAGAGCCATGAAGATGGCGTGGGTTGTAGCACACGAAAATCTAAGAATCGGGCGAAATTCTAGTTTTATGACCCTAAAACACTAAAACATGAGGAACGATCATGGC